AGCATCCTCATGAATTTTACTCATTAGTGTTCCCCTTACAACTGCATCAATCATGAAATGAGTATTTGGAAATAAACCATTGTAAATTATGTGTCTCTACAATCATACAAGTAGACCATGATATGGGCACTTTTTAAGTAGGTCTTTGTGTCTCTCCCATGCCTCATATAATGACTCCATGTCAAACTACACAAAAGTAACAATATCATTACGCATCTTAGCCATTTTAAGAGGAAAGTACTTACAAGAAATTTTCTTGTCATCTCATCCCAAGTAATAATTGAGTCCAAAGGCAAAGAGTTAAAGCAATTCTTTGCAAGAGAAAAATCTCAATCTTTTTGCATATTTTTAAACTCAATTATACTTGATTGTGTCACAAATTTCTAAAAGTTTGGTAAGATGTTCATTTAGATATTCATTTAGCAATCCACCAAATTGAACTAATAGTTGGACCATCTGAATGTAAGTGGACTTGATTTCAAAGTTGTTAACTTGTATTGCTAGTTTCCTTATACATGAGGCCACACCATCCATTGAAGGTGATCCCTATTCTCTCAAAGCTTTTGCTACAGCCTCTTTTGCCATCTTGTGGGTTTGATTAACAACTAAAGCTTCCTTCTTTTTGATCAAAAAGTGAAAAGTTTGTTCTATCTTAAGATCAAATGGTGCAAGTTTTGTGTATCTAGAACGAGTCATCTACTAACTTGCACATTTGCAAAACAACTAAAGTGAAAAAAAAAATACATTAAAACTAGAATAAATTTGCTTTGATATTAATTTAAATTAATACAGTCCCTAGCAACGACACCACAAACTTGATAAGCTAATATCACTCTAACAAGACTAATAGTCAATTCAAATAATATAATGATGAAAATTAAATATTGTCCCCACAGAGGCTATAGACTAATCAAATACTAAAATTAGCTAAATAATTGAAATTAAATGATTTGAAGGAATTAATTAACTAAACTAATTAAAGAAAAACTAAATTGACTTTAAGTGACACTAAGAGTCAAAATTTTTACCAACGAGGGGTTGGATCAAGTGGTAAGTGGCTTGTTCCAGCTTAAGCAAGATCTTGAATTCGAGACCTTGTGTACGCAGTAGCCCCCGCTGGGAGACTCACCCACCATTTCTAGGTGCGCGACGCAGGTCGGGTCCAAATTAGTCGAGACGAAGCCCCGGATACCGGGCAGGAAACCAAAAAAAAAAAAAGAGTCAAAATTTTAAGGCATCCAAATTCATCATAATTAGCTAATATAAAATTTAGATTAATATACTTCTAAGGTCTTTATTACTCATGTGACAACAAGCTTTTTTTTAACCTATTCAGTATACTTGTTCAAGTTATACAAAACCTATCTTCACCTATTGATCCATTCTATCTCTATAAAGATGTATTATATCGATAAAATTTCCTAATTTACATAGAAAATCAAGTTTACTTGCTATTAATGTTATATGAATCACATTGATTTATTTTTTTATTCTCATTCAATTCATAGTATATATTACTATAAGTTGTTGCATAAAATTTTCGCTTGATCTAAATTATGCTCTCCAAATCTATTTTAATGATGGTCAATTATTAAAAAGTATTAAGAATAATAATATATACTTTACATAAAATAATAAACCTTGAAAGTATAAAAATTATGAAATTTTATATCAAATTGACCAAGTTGCATCATAGCCTTAGATGACTAATTTATTTCATAGTTAAAGAAAGGAAAATCAAATATGTCATAATAAATATAAGAATACCCAACATCATAAAGTAAAATTTAGGGACAAATAAAACCAGTTTCATGATATAAAATCTAAAATCTTGATCTTCTTTCGATGTTAAATTTCTCTTAATCGCCTTTCTTTTAATCTCTTTAAAAACCCCAAAACTGCTTTTCGAATGAGTATTTATAGAGTTTAAAAAATCCTATTAGAAAAGAAGTAGGACTCTAGATAGCAAAGAAAATTCCTAATCAAAAGATATTCTATTAATCCCAAAAACTACTATCATTATGCATTAAAGTCTTTTTTGTACAAAAAAATGAAAACTATATAAAATCTATTAAAAATCACATTATGTTCATGGAAATAGTAATAAAATCAAGGCTAAAATAATAGATTAAAGCATATAAAATGCTTCTCATCAATTGTCTTAAAACTAGCCAATCACAAAGAAAGGGTGTGTTTGGCCCTACTTACTTTGAACAACATTCACACAATCTTTAGGTTCATCACTTATTGCAAATCGAGAGGGTTGTCCCCATAATTGAACTATTCAAAAGTTTCTTCAATCTTAGTGAAATCAAGGGAGACAAGATAGGTATTATGTCAGCCCTAGGGATGGGAAAGTTCTATTTGGTGGAATGCTTTCATCCATCAAGAACTAGAAGCCCTTATTCTTTTTGTTGATGACAGTTCTTGGGGCAAGACAAAGGAGGAGATTGAAAAAATGAGCAAATGGAAAGAGAAGGTTGGAGACAACTATTATTGTAGGCTCATTTTCAATGAGTAAAGGGATCATGATTTAGTAATCCTAGCTAAGTCAAAGAGAGTTATGAACATCATAAGGTTGACAAGTGACTTAGCTCTTATGTCTGCCAATCTAGTTTCTAAAAGTAGTGGATGGCTTATGTCCTTAGTTTATTAAAGTTCCTTTTTAAAGTCTCGGTGTAAGAAGAGGCCGAAGAGGAGGCATAATGTTTGGCTAAAAAGGTAAAGGCAAAGGAGAAAGAACATTTTGAGTTGAGGGAGAAGATGAACAATGTCATAAGCTCTCTTTGCTTAACTTCGTTTGAATGCACATACACTCCTTCCTCTAGTCTTTGGTGCTCAGGCAGATCTAGAACATTCATTGTCTATCAACCATGATGATGGCCTATGATGATTATAAGACAAAATTGAAGGCCATCGAGTGAATGTGGATGGGATGAGTCAAAATGCTTCCTTTTCTATAAACATCTAGCTTTCTTGGTCAAAGGCCAATTGTCATGTGAATATCCCTCCAATTTTTCAATAGATTACCCAAGAGAAGGATGTGGACATCAAAGGCCATTCAGAAGATAGAGTGCATCAAAAGGAGGTTAGTAAAAGAAAACAAGATTCCAAGGTGAAGTTGGACAACACCGTTTGTACACCTTTAACAGATGATGTCTTTAGCCTTCTTCCCCTTTTACTTATGTTTTACACTTTATAATTTTATAAACCTTTGTGAACATTGTTTGCTTTTTTTTAATGATCATGTGATAGATGGAAACCCTCATGTGGTCTTTCTCAACTGTAATTGTTTTGGATATTTTCAAGATTTTTTTACTTCTAGTATTTAATATTTATATTGCTTATCATATTTGTTACTTTGAGCAATCCCCCTTGTTTGGGTTCTAATCATATTTTGTTGATTTTTAAGGTTAAAGAAATATATTGGAAAGGCTAAACAACACTCTTCTATTCAAGGATAAAACATTTTGAGATTATTAACATTTCAAACCTTTTGGACCCTTTTCCTTTCAAAGTGTTAGAGTACATAGGCACCTAGGTGTGAAGTTCCAACCACAACGTACGACCCCTCCTAGTTTGGTGCATGTTTGTTGTACTTGGTGCCAAAACCAATTAAGCCTACTTTCTTGAGGACAAGTTCACTAATGCTAAATTGGACTGGTCAAACCTTCTTGTTATAAAAGTTTGCCAATTTTTGTTTATAAATTAGTGTCTTCTACCTTGTGGTCTCCCATACTTTTTCCAAAAGATCAAGGTTGTTGGGGAACCAGGCATCATTCTTTAAGTTAATAGCATGAGTGACCTTGAAGTTAGGAACACTAGTCTCGATAGGAATACAACTTTGACCCAAAAGGTCAAATGAAATGGGGTTTCACCAATAGTTGTTAGGCTTGTCATCTAGATGACCATTGTACATTGTTAAGCTCATCATCCCACTAGCCCTTTTTCTTGTCAAGCCTTGGCTTAATTCCTTCTAAAGGCACTTTGTTGATTGACTCAATTTGTCCATTAACTGCAAGGTGATATATAGATACAAATTGCAGTTGTATTCCATGCCCTTGGCTAAAATATTTAAAATCACTACACTTGAATTAGCTACCATTATCTGCAATGATTTTGTTTGGAATACCATATAAGCAAATGATGGAGTTAAAGACAAAATCTTTAACCTTCTTAAAGATGAGGGTGGTTATCGGCCTAACCTCAACCCACTATGTAAATTAATCCATAACAACAATCAATTGGTGATTCCTCCAGTTCCCTTCAAAAACAATCCGAGCAAATCAATCCCCTACTGCGTGAATAACTACAATGCTACCATGCTCATTAGCTCTTCCCTTAGTTAATCAATAAGATGAGCAAAAAATTAGCATTTTTTACCATTTTGGATGAAAGACATAACATCTTTGAGAATATTTGGCCAATGGTAATCTCATGAACCAAACTTTAAGTGCCTATATAACTATTGTAGACTCCTTTGTGCATTTCCCAAAGAGCATATTTAGCCTTAGAGGATGTTAAGCATCACAATAACGATATGGAATAGGATCTTTTGTAAAGAACTCCAATGATAAGGGTACATCGTGTAGTCCTCTGCATAATTTTGTCTTTTCACTTTTATCAAAGGGGTAGTATTCCATCTGTCAAGCATGCAATGATTGGATCTATCTAGTTGGGGGTCATATAGCCTGTTCTTGATTTCTTCACTATGATTGTTGATTGTCCTCTTACTCTCTTTACAAGAATTTCAAAATTGTGATGTTTTCTATGATTCTCTTTCTCTTCACAACCTTTTTCAAGAAACAAATTGAGAATGGAAACAAATTATGGAGTTGTAATTGCATGAAATAACTCAGACATTCAACTAACCTAACAAAGTAGCTCCAGATGGTATATTTTAATTAGCAAACTTACAAGAGCTAAGGTAAATCATCAAAGTAAACACTCCAATGCTCGAGTCAATACATAAGGGATCAAGTAGGGTGTCACGCCCCATAACCCAAATCTGAGGGGCGACAGACGCCGTGCACTCGTGAGTGGGTCCCACAAATGCACAAGGCTCGGAACTTATCCAAATCACAAAATCTCATGAATAAAATCAACCTTACAAAAGGATGATAAAATCTAAAACTTATACCCCAATTGAATGGCTAGCCTTCTAATTCGTCACTCCCATCGGTTTCCCCGTCCTCGGTTTCGATTCCTGAAATGGTGGACAAGGAAAACTATGAGATAACTCAGTAAGTAAATATGGATAGCCCTTGGGTAAAACTTTGAAGCATGCCAGATAAACCATGTAAGCGTAACAGACTTTTAATGATAAACCATTAATGCGGAA